TTTATGTACCACTTTTATTTTGTGAATTGTGTAGAATTGGTCATAATATGTCTATGTTTTTGAATGAACACTCGTTGAAAACGCTCGTGTCATCTTTCTTATTTTGACGCATCGATTATTGCAATGCTTTACTAGCTAACGTACCAAATTTCACTCTTCACAAGTAACAACGTTTTCAAAAATCATGCTGCTAGGCTTGTACTAAAGAAAAAGAAGAGGGATCACATTACTCCCATGTTAGGAACCAGTGGCGGCTCGTGGTTTATAGAACTGACCGGCGGTCATTCACGTCGACTATTTTTCCATCCCCCACCCCCTTCCTTCACAACACACACACTCACACACACACACACACACACACACACACACACACACACACACACACACACATATGCTCTCTCTCTCTCTCTCTCTCTCTCTCTCTTTTTATTTTATATCCCTACTTTCGCCATCCCCACCCCTCCCCCACTCACACACCACAGTAAACATTGTAATATAATGTAATGTGAAAGAGCTAAAATATGCGGTAGCGTCAAGAAACAATATTATGAATAATGTAAGATGGAAGTTACTGAGATTAATAGAAACTCACTTGATAGGCACAGAAAAAGAAACACTACTTGAGTCTATGCTAGAAAACAAACTGAAAGTGAGAAGCAATAAACCGCTGGTCCTGGCCTCCAGTACAGTACTTAACTCGTACTTTCTACACCCCCACACAAAATATCGACGTGCACTGGACCCGTTAAATATATGTAATAAGAACTGTCCTGTCTGATGACAAAAAGTCAATTGCTACTGTACCAGTGACGCTGCCCCAAGCAGATCAAGTCTACAATCAGATGCTATACAAAGCTGGACAAAGTTAGCACACAAGTTTCCGATCATTATATTATCAAATGTACTTCATCGCACTTCTCAGTTCTCAGAATTGAACACTGAACACTGTGTTGTAACAAAGTGGGGAAGTGTGTCAAATGCTAATTATAGAACTTGGTGTCTAGCTGGGGTGAGGGTTGATAAGGGGAGGGAAGGGAGGGGGTTTTCGACAGTCTCATTCTTTATTTTGTAAGCTACAAAGAGGCCAATCTGGCAATAAAGGGATGATCTATTCATTCTGAGGGCTGACGATGGATTTGTCCATGGGACTGACGTCATCGCTAGGCCTAAGCCCACCGTGTGTTTGGCCTCGTACGTAGTAAGTAGTACGAAGTTCCGCGACGTGACGACGTGAAGGAATGAGGTTATGTCGCGACAAAACAGCAGTGAATCCCACTTGCTATTTGAGCGCCTTCAAATCGGCAAGGTGTTTTTGAATATTGATACATGTTTGTTTTGATTTACTTAAGACTGAATGAAAATCGTCATCAGCAATAAACCTCTAGTCAACAGTCCAGCTCACAAAAATCTGACCGGCACCGCCGGTCTTGCCCAGTTAACAAACCGCCCCTGTTAAGAACGTCACATTGGCTTCCCGTGTCAGCTAGAATGTCATATAAAATTGCAATATTATGTCATAAATGTGTCAATAACAAAGCTCCCTCATATCTTAGTTATCTCATCCAGATTTATGTCTCATCTAGATCACCAAGATCAGGCGATCCTTATCTTTTAAGAGTTCCTAGAAAAGGGGGTAAAAATTTAGCTGAAAGATCGTTTGCCCACCTTGCTCCCTCAGTTCGGAACTGTCTTCCCCAACCCTTGAGACATACATCATACAACATCTGAGTCTAAATTGAAAAAATCTTTAAATTTAAAGATACGTTTAATGACATCATTTTTATGTCAGTAGATTCATGTGCAGTTTAATGTTATGTAAATGACTATGTATCCATTTATGTATTTTGCGAATCACATTGTGTATATTATTTTATTAGGTATGTGCTCATTTCGTAACGATGTGTAAGCGTGCGTGTGTGATAAGCCAGCAGATGTGTGTGTGTGTGTGTGTGTGTGTGTGTGTGTGTGTGTGTGTGTGTGTGTGGCGTGCGTGAATATTGTTCGTACATGTATTTATGTAAGGCGCCAAGAGCTGTGTTTACACGGGAGTGGGCGCTATAGAAATTATCTTCATTATCATTATTATCATTATTACATGTCTGTTGATCACGGATCAAACAAAAATTAAAATCTTGATCCAGAAATTAAAATTTCTTTATAGTATAGTGAGCCTTAATATTAAACATGTTGGCTGCATACACAAGATCATTACAATAAACGATTTACAGTAATTTAGTCTACAAATAGCTCAGTTTGAGACAGGGACATAATATTCCGTCTTGGGGGACATCACCCTGCCCCCCCCTCCCATCATTTTAAAGCAAGCGTGTCGTTTTGGGGGTTTTTTTTTTGCCTCAAAGACCGTACGTCTAGAATCTGGACCTCACCACGTTCGAGTCTCGAAAAGTATCCACCTGTCTGATGTAGGCCTACATACTGTAATACAGTACTATAGTCGTGCGTTAATGTGTGGTTTTGATGAAAATAGGTTAGATATATATCACTCTCTGATATATATCTAACAATATTAGAGCTTGTTCATTTTCGCCTGTCGGCGTTAAATACTATTCTAACTCACGTATGCCTACGAAACTTTGCATGGCAGTTCTGCAGGCCAGTGACCAATTAAAATAAAATATAAAAAATCTCGACCCAGTAATAAAAAAATGTTTCTCTTTCGATGCAAACAATCAATCACTAAAATAAATGGTAGCTTTTAAGCAGAAGGGTTTTCTCTATAACCAAACAAATATGCACAACGATGAAACCAAACTCCTCTTATAGGTAGGCCTAGGGTAATGCCCGCTTTTGGTGAAGGTCAAAATTTCTGGAAACATCGAAAATCTGGATTAGCCCGCTTACTGTCCTTAAAAGCGACGAAATGACTCACAGTAACCTTGAGTACAAATTGCTCATTTGGAGACAGCGACACCACCCTACCCCCACATTTCAGTGTAATTTTGTAGAAGCTGTGCATCTCCACGTTCTCCACGTGTGTCTTGAAAATAACGCACCCCGTCTCTTATATCGCATCGCGTTTCTCTGGCGTTTGGTGTTTAATAAAGTATGTTAACTTCTAATCATGTTAGGTGTCTGCTGTAAATCCCCTATTATTATTATTTTTAAAAAACAACTGCCTTAGGCTTACATCAAAGAAAACGCATCGGAACCTCAGTTTGCAGCAACCTTTATGAATGGGGTTTTAGATTCTGTTGGTCATCCATCTTTTAAACCTGTATGCAAATATGTGAGAGATTTCAGTATCTTATTTTAACCGCGGTCAGACGAAAGTGAAAAAGATATGTGTTATGATGTTTTAGGTATGCCGTGCGCTCCCCCAATTGTAAAAAAAAAAAAGAACTGTTATTACATTAAGGCTAACATAAAAGGAAACGGGTCGGAATTTTATTTTTAAGTGGCCTTCATATTTTATAGGTCATCCAACTTAAAAAAATTAAGACCCGCATACAAAGACCTGAGGTGATTTAAGATAGAGCTATTTTTGTTTATCCCGTTTTTACTGTGGGCAAGCGAGGGTGAACAAGCTGTGGTTTCTTGCTTTGAAATTTTAACATTCTCACATTCACGGCTTTCATCACGCTACAAAAGTATGTACATGTATGCGCGTGTGTTTTTGCTTATTGCTTGTGTGTG